GTCAAACCCTTGACCCTTGGTGTTGTTCCTCCTTCCAGCTCCCTTTGTCTCCTTTTGGAGTACCCTTGCTCCTTTTGATTCCAGACCCCTCCTTATATACAATGTACATAGTTGTTAGAATTGGGCGGATTCGGATGACTCCGGAGTGGAATCGGAGACTTAGTGTGGAAGGACCTCAGCCTCAGCGACTCAGGTGGAGCGCTGTGCCATTGCTGGTTGTCCTAGGGGTCCCTAATTTCGGATCTAGCAGAGGGAAAGTCTCTTGGGGGGAATTCATGTCGATTTCGGACTGAGGTTACAAGTTACTATGTACATTGTATATAAGGAGGGGTCCGGAATCAAAAGGAGCGAGGGTACTCTGAAAGGAGACAAAGGGAGCTGGAAAGAGGAACAACACCGAGGGTCAAGGGTTTGACTCAATGGTGTTTCCCAAAGGAGGAGTGAAGGGCCAAGGCCCAAGGAGGAAGGAAGGAGGTTGGGAGTGGGGGAATGGCTAGCTGACTGAATAGAAAGGAAGCAGTAGCCCAAATAGGAATGAGGGAGAATAGCGGAACTGAATGGAGCAATGCAATAGTTGCAAGGTCCGACGTAAGTCTGGAAAGTCCGAACTCGGAAGCTAAACTCCGGAATATTGGCAAACGTAATTAAATGGAATGAGCTAACCAATACAATGGGTATAAGTGGAGGTGGGGTCAAAGTCCAAGGTCGGAGCTAAGACCGGAGGTTCCGGAGACGGAGATGCGAACGGGGTTCCGGAGTGGAGGTCCGGAGTCGGGAGCATAGGTTTTGCGTACTCATCTGGAAGGTGTTGAGGTTGGGGTCGGACCCAGAATGTCCTGGAGTCAGACCGAAGGTGGTGTCAGAGCTGGAGGTGGGATAACCTCTTGGGAGTCGGCAAGGAGGAGGTGACAGAAGGGAAGTAAGACTCCGGAAGTCAGGTTCGGAGTTCCGGGAGCCCGGAGCGGAGGTCAGGATTGTATGGATATGACAATAGTAACTTGTAACCTCAGTCCAAAATCGACCTGAAATGCCCCCAAGAGACTTCCCCTCTGCTAGATCCAAAATTAGGGACCCCCAGGACAACCAGCAATGGCACAGCGCTCCGCCTGAGTCGCTGAGGCCAAGGTCCTTCCACACTAAGTCTCCAATTCCACTCCAGAGTTGTCTGAATCTGCCCATTCTACCAATATCTGTAACAGTATCTCATGCTGTCACGGCTGTGCATTCCAGCCTGTTAGCTGCCCATCCTGATGCTGAGCCCATCCCACTGTGCAAGCATGAGCATGAGCCCTGACCCTCATCCCTATTCTCCTTGAGGACCCCCTGCTTGCCCTAGGCTCCCCTGCACCTGGTCGACGCCCCAGCCACACCAGCCTTCCCACCCCAAGTGCGCCTCTGGCACCTTGCCCAGCGTGACTCCTCCTACTCTGCCTGTCATATCCCAGAATCCTGACCCCACGCACTCCCACCACACCACACCTTCCTAACAACTTCACCATCCCCTACACCATGCCTCCCCACTCCCCAAGTCACCTTCCTTCCTGACTGTCTCAGCCCCGGTCTGGTTGCAGCACACCGAACCTTGGCCACTCCCATCCTGGAAGCTTGGTCCCGAGTCAGAACATTCAGAGACTCCAGATTTGCTCCGATATCCCAACGGACCTCCAACATCCCATGACACACCCCTAAACCATTTCTCCACCCATTTCATTTATTGGAGTTACCCAACATCCTTCGGATATGCAACTCCGCTTTCGGAGCTACCCACATCCTTCGGTGACCCCACTCATGTCATCACTTATTAGTCACCTTCCATTCTTAGCACGACTATCTTCTTCTTACCATTCGGTCGGCTAACCCCCTCTTACCCATTTCTCGTTCCCATTCATTTTCTGGCCTCTTACTCTGCCCTCCTCGACCCGACACCTTGGTTCCCCATTAAAGATATCGTTTGGGACCTTTCGGTACCTCTCGGTATCATTCGGCACCTTTCAGTGTTCTTCTATTATCATTCGGACTTTGACTAAGTCCTTCCCATTCCCCCTTATAAATACCTGTAGATTAGAACCTGTAGTTTTCCTCAGTTCTAATCTCGACTAAAATGCTACCCTAAGTCCCTCTGAGTGAATCCTGTCCCCTTTCTACAAGATACCTCAGACATAAGAAAAACAAGGACTAACTGAGACATAATGGAGGCACAGCGCTCCCTCCGAGTCGCTGAGGCCACATCCTTCTTAGAGCCTCTTGTACATCCAGCAGAACCAGGCTTCCTGGAGAAGCTTCAGTCCACTACCAGAGCTCTCGGATCCCCCTCTAGTTGAGCCCTGCCTGCATTTGGACTCACGCATCATCCCCTATGATCCGGGTTTTTGACACTGCCCACTTGGCCCTCATCGGGCCACTATCGCTCCTGTGCCCAACTCCGACTCTGGCACTGCTACAACACCATCGCCACTATTGTGGCCCTACACTCCTTTGCATATTTATCTGTTATTGTTTGTTTTGACCCTTGGTCATTGCTGGCTGCTGTGCAGCCAACCCCGCTCTTTGTTCCCTTTTGCTTCCGGACCCTTCGGCCTTCAGCCCAGGTCCGCTTCTATTCATTTCTTCTTCCTATATATATCCTGTATGATACATTATAGTACTTTAGCTCTAATATCAATTTGACCATGACTCCCCAAGTCCTGACCCCAGCAAGGCAACCCCAGTGAGTCTGAAATAAGGGCCAAGAGACAGCTAGGGGGCACAGCACTCCTTTAGAGTTGCTGAGGCCAAATGCCCTACCCTTGGGCCTTGTTCACGGCATTGCGGCCATCATGGCCTATAGCAGCCTGCAACAGTGACCCTCGGTGCTGACCCCAGACTTGTGTCTAACACATGCTTCCATCTCTCCATTATATATAGACACTTGTATGTACTTGCTTGCTCCTCAGTCAGTAAATGACCTGAGTGACCACAGCAACCTGAGCAACCCAAGCAATCTAGTCTACTCAACTCAAGTGCTTATGCCCCCTAGAGACTTTACCCTTGATATGCCTGAAATTAAGGACCAGCAGGACAAACAGCAGTGGCACAGTGCTCCGCCTGAGTTGCTAAGGCCAAGGTCCCTCCTTGCTGAGTCACTATTTCCACTCCAGAACCGGCAGAGACCCTCAGTGTTGCTCCTCTTCTTAGTCCCTGTTTGGACCTGTTGTCTCTGTTCAGCCCCCTTCCTCAGTGCTTCCAACTCTCCTCCTTTATATACAATGCACATAATTACTTGTAGCCTCAGTCTGAAATCAACTTGGAACCCTTCCTGGTTACCAATAGAGTCCCCTGATCTGCAATAAATCAAATGAAGATCAGGGGCATCAGTGAAATTACTTGTCACCCAGAAACAGCCTTTGTTTCCAAGGGGCAATCACTGATGGGATCATAGCAATGAATTATGCTGTGCATCACCCTGTTTCAGAGATGATTAGCAATCAAGGAATGGCTTACTCAGCTCAGGAACAATTCCAATGCTGTGTATCACCAGGGGCAGAGCCCCTGGCTGTCCTTGAAAGCAGCCCTCCTCCCAGGTATATAACCTGAAGGGCAAAAGGCTGATAAGCCCCAGATGAAAGTGCTTTTATCTCCCTTAGGATAGAGTCCTCCTTCTCATCATCACTCAACTTCTGGCTTGGGCAATTAGTTCTTCAGCAACCCTTCACTTTGGGTACTGGATAGGGTACCCTGGTTTAGCCTATAACTAATATGTTACAAATGGGTAAATTGTAGTCACAACTGTCATCTTTTCAACCAAAACATTTCTCTTGGAACTTGGAATCATACCAAGATTGTTAGTGAGTATATGGTAAACTTGCCCAAATGATTCCTGATCCGAGAGTTCTCCATATAAATCCTTGTCCGGATTCTTGGTAGACTTGGGAAACAGATGCCCCGGGAAGTGTTCGCGTATATCCTCAAACGGATTATTAAACATGGCTGATCTTTCAGCTGCCGTTTGACGATAGTACCGCCCAATCCAGTATTTGTGTAGCGCTGCAGCAAAATTCCTGTACCGTTGGTGAAGGGGAGCCTTTTTGAGAAGGTTTGCTGTTTCTTCATTTTGCTTGGAATTACGACAGTTGTCTGGGCTCTTGAACCATGATGACAAAGGATGGGGACTGATGGTGAGAATTTTACCGTCATCTCCTTTGTCCATGCAAATGCAGATGTAAATGAGACACCAGGCAAAAGACTCCGAATCGTGTCGGTACAGACGTAGAACCGAGCCCTTGAGTGCTTCTACACTGAGGAGATCCAGGGCCATGAACGGCATAGTTCCAGTGTTGTCCTTCCCACTCGGTCCCATCTGTTTGCCCAATCGAGCGAGATCGAAGTCGACAAGAACTCCGCGCTTCGTACCTGGCTTGTACATAAGATTCCCTGTGCTGATATCCCCATGGAAAACCTCCCCATCCCACAACCCCCAATGACCTGCCGCAAATGAATGCTGAGGGACAGCACGCAAAAAATGGAAACACGACATACAGAAGAAACAGTCCAAATATGCGATTAGCACGTCTTCCTCATCTAGGTGCTTGAGCTCCCCCAGACGGTCGAGTATAATGAAACGAAGCACTCGCGCCCCGGTCGTGTTCAGACCCAGAAACTCCCGGATGAACCTTGTCGAACATGTGACATACGGAGGGTCTGTGTTACCATGGATTGTGGGAATGTGGTCCCTCACTAGGCTATTGGTTTCACCGATTTGCATCGCCCGCTCGATGATCTTCACCTCACTAGCCCGCGCTTCCTCTGGCCAGGAAGCCTTGGTGACCAAGTTGTTGGTTTTTCGAATATCCACGGAAGTATTCGGATTCGGACTGTCAGCCTTCCTAGCCCCAGCTACGACGGTCGAACGGCCCGTCAGATTGACCCCCCCATAGATAAGATCATCATCGGGAAAGATATGGATCGTAGCGTCCTGGATGAAGGTGGCTTTGAAGAAGACAGAATCCTTGGGCCCTCGTTCAGGGTAGATACTCGACCCTCGAACGCGGTGAAAAAACCCCAGCGTGCCAGGTCGAACCGTTGCATAACGAGTAGGACCAGAAGGAAGTGAGGCAGGTCATCGATGATGTCGAAGCCCCCCGTTCGAATAACACTCTGCCTGTCTGACCATGTAATGTATATTTTGCTCCCTAAAACATTGTAGCCTGAGTTACACTCGACAAGATTTACGGGGTTGAATCTCGCCTTGGAGAATGAAGTTGATAGCATGAGTGATGTCAAGGGAGCAGGAGAGCCTCTCCGCCGCGTAGATCCCATTCTGAATGTGGACTGGATGCTTTAGCGGGACCGCCGAACGTTTTGGGCTCCCTGCAGCATCCCCCCCAGTCTTGGATCGTTTGGTGGTATTGTGGTCATTGAGCGCTTCTGTCTTGCGCTTCATGCGAGGGTACGCCCATTCTGAGATATGTTCCGACGTGACTGGGCCCTTCCTCGCGGCCACCCTATCCGATCCCCTGGAGCCATCTGCCCAGAAATATAAGTGACAGATCCCTTCTGAGAGGCGCGCACTCACATTTGAGCTCAGGTTGCACCAGTCGGGTGAACCCAGTAGCTGAGTCATTATCGAACGAGGTACACGACTCTGATTCCTTGAGGTCTTCAAAGTTATTGTTGAATGTCCTCATCGAGTTAACTTGCTTCGGTAATCTGTCAAATTTCACTTCTACTGTTGATCGGACCTTTTTCCATGCCAGCTCCAGGTTTTTAGAGCCTGCGGTACAGGTCTGCGTCCCGTAAGTGCAGGAGTAGGTATCGGAAGCGTTGCAGGCTAGGCTTCTAAAGAATTCCCATTGAAGTAGGACAATATCTGGTCTAGTCCGGCAATCCCGGTTAAGATCGAGGGACTTCACCATGTGGTTGTGGTTGCAAACGAAGACGATCTGCTTGTTGGCAGAGTACTGAGGCAACCCTTGGATATCGATTTTTGAAAGTTGATCTAGGGCATAGTTGGAGGCGATTACGAACGGATCGTACATTTCTGCCTCTGTCCCGGCTTTGAGGCTTACAGTGAGTTAGTCCGCGCCTAGGGAGACATGACCGTACTTACAACTTGGAGAGCTCAATCCTCAGCGTGGTTCCTTCCTGGTTTCCTACTTCCTTCACTTTCTCAAAGGCAGATAACAGCACCCGCTTGTCACGAGCGGGAACAACTTTTCCCTTTCCCGACAGGCAGAACGCGAGCAAAAAGTCGATCATGTCAACCGCCTTGCATTGCTGGGCACTCTCCAAGTCGACACGAATCGGCTCTTCCATTTCTTCCGCCCTGACGTCGTGTTATCACCAGAGAGGCAAAACGAAAGAGGGATGACACACCGATAGGATTTCAAAGTTCCAGTCAGCAAACGAGATTGACTGGCCGAACTCGAGCTGGGCCTTGATCCACCACGAATGGGAGTTTTCTGAATCCCTTTGGCGGTATTGGTGGTGCTCTCCTCATTCTGTTCTTCTTGGGGTATCATTGGGTGGAGCTGCCCCAGGACATCCCGCTCGGTATGTTGTCGGGAACAACAAACACCAACAAATTCGGCCAACTCCGTACACCTAAAGTTCCGTAAACCACATCACGGCTAAGAGACGTTTACTGCGTTTTTCAGAGAAACTGTCCGATGAAAAGTGAATGGGGTATGACCCCGTTCGTGAGAAATCAACCTAAATTTCTGCAATTTCCACCTTTCAATACAGTCCGAATTATATTTCAATAGAGTAGCTTGCACAGCCATTCCGCGTTCCCCGTTGCACACTAAAGTCCCAGCAATCTAGTTCTCAATTCCCGTCCTCACATTGGCCATGATCAAACTAATGTTTGGCCATCTTTTCCGTGATTGGTTTTGATGCGTCTCATGTCTAAACAGAGCCAGAATACCGCTGGCATGTCTTTACCCCGTTCTGGAGCTAGCTAGTATTCCGTATTCGTGGCTGGGCCCAGCTATCTGGGTCTCATTTCATAACAAGTCCGGGCTCTGAACTTCTGCACAATGGTCACTCACAACAGTCACTCTCATGGGCGCTAAGCACACCACTCCAGACATGAAGCGACTCATCATCCTAATGTCCGAAACCCTTTCTACATTGTCGGGCTGTGGGCTCGACGAAGTGGGTGCTCCCTGGGTGGGAGCGGGCTGTTGTGTTCCTGAGCTGCTTGGCTCAGGTGTAGAGTACGGTAGGTCTACTGTTCTTCCCATGGGGAAGGATGGTCGTTGGGCTGGTGGTCCAGCACGGAGACTTGCGTCTCTTTCCCGGTATTTGGAAGCTTTCGCTTCCCGTTCCACAGTTCTTGCGGCACATTCCTCAGGAGTCCTGAGTGGTTTGAACTGGGACTTTAAGTAGGCAGCTTTGCCTAGGCTTTCCCAGGAGATTTTCCCCTTATTCTCTGGGGAATTATATTCCTCTGCGAGTCTTGCGATACTGGGGAGTCCCAAGAAGTATTTCTCGGTTTCCTTCGCTTTTTTGCGAAGGACTCTGTGTACCTTGCCGCTTTTGAAGGTGGCTTCGACCTGTTTGTACCAGTGTACGAATTCTTTCCCACTCACGCTTGTCCACCAAGTGTATGTGGCATCATGTGCCACTTCTGACCCCACTATTCTCCTCATGGGGAAGTTGGGGTCGATTGTTATGTCGACTGGAGCTTCGACTTTGCCAAACTCATGGAGTTCGGTGGTCTCGTATAGCATGTGGACACTTCCCTGCAGGGTAGCTTGCCCATAGGGTGCTGAGGTACTCAGCGGCCCGCTGCCTCTGGCAGTGGTCCCCGTTTTAGGGTCTGCCGTCGGTTGCCTACTGCTCTCCCTCTTCCCCTCGACATGGGTTTGCCCCTCTGAGGGTGGGCCCTTATGCAACCCGGACAGGGTCGCCTGCCCATGGGGTGGCGGGATAGTCGGTGCCCCACCCCTTGATGTGCTAGTCCCCAGGTGGGGTCGCGCCTCATGAGGCCCGGAACCGTATCCCCTCCCCCTGACCTGGGAGGCCCCCGTCATGATGGGTTTGGCAGCGAGGTCTGCCAGTGTGTGTGCCTCTCTGAGCTCGCATTTCAGTAATTCGATCTCTTGTTTTTGGAGATCAACTTCTCTCTCTGTGTCTTTCAGAGAGTCAAAGATGCCCTCAGCATCTCTTTGTGCTCTGTTGTATTCGCGCCTCCAGTGGGCGCAATGGTCACAGGCGTCTTCTGACACCCTCGAGTTATCAGACCGTGCCCGTTTGGACGGTCTGGACGAGGAGCTGCTGTCGCTCCCTCGTCTCCCTCCTATGAGGGACTTCATCTCTTTCAGCTCCTCATGGAGCTGACCTGTCTGAGCAGCTACCGCTGACACGATGGCTGATTCCCAGCCTGCATTTGGCTGGGGCGTTGTTGGACCTGGGCCGAATTGGCTAATCCAGGGGTTGATCTGGCCAGGGAAGTTCCCTGGGGAGTATGTGTTATGGGGATGGGGGAAATTCCCCATTCCTCGATCCGTTCTTATAGTGGGAAGACGAGAGTCATGTCTAGTTTGTACCATAACTGGAAGTGTAATCGATGAGTGATCCCAGTCTGACCTGGGAGTGGACGATCGAATTCCCATCGATCGCGATGGGTGATGTAGTGAGCTATTAAAGGATTGATGATTGATAGTCGGAGATATCAGGACAGATGGGTCAGCCACGGATACTTGGCGCTCCTCAATGGAGCGTACCGTGTGCGAGGTCGCAACTGGTGAGATGGGCGAGAGCTTCGCGTAGTGGCCATCGGGTACTTGGCGTTCGCAGTGCGAACGTACCGGTAGCGGGTTGATATCGTAGGTGTGCAATGAGGGCTGACTATTAGGGCCTTCGGTGACTTGGCGTTCCCAAGGGGAACGTACCGTTGGCGGGGACATATGATGACTGGCAAAGGAAGAAACAGACGGTGGATGGGCGGCTACTTGGCGTTCACGTAGCGAACGTGCCGGCATCGCGGGTAAGTGGGCCTCATAGTGTTCATGATCACCATGATCGTGATGGGACGTCGTATGTTGAGTACTGGGGGGAGAGCGGAGTGATGAAGACCCATAGGGTACAGGTTCAATAGGACGATACACACGTCGAGAGTCTTCGACTCTCGACTTCGAGTTCTCGCGGCGAGGGCCGTTAGAGGACTCGATATAACCAGACTTATAAGACATATTGAGAGTTGTACAGTCACACAGGTTCAGTTGAGTCACAGGGAGGGTTGTTACAGAAGACGGTACACGAGACAGTTGTAGAGCAGTTGTTAGTTAGCGGGAACCGCCTTTGGCGGTTTCCGTACAAGACGTGTGACTATCTACAAATGGTAAGGTCGCGGGAAATCCTGCGAAACACAAATAACCTCGGCCAGCACCAAAACCCCAGTTGGGGAAAGCTTTGCACGAGGGGGGGGAAAGGGGTAGAACGGATAAGGAGGATGGGGTATCGGGATAGAGGACGGAAGGGAGAAAGAGGGGAGGAACGATAATGAGGAGAAGTCTTTGACCAGGTGACGGATATGGTTGTTGGAGACTCCGTATCCGTAACAGTATGCCTGGGGCTGCAGCAGCAAATGCTGCCCCTGGAATGGCGCTTGTTGTGCCATCGGTGCAGTTTGCACCACGTATGGTTGGAAGCCTCTTTGGGGAGGCTGAGGGTATGCATGCCTGTTAGCAACGCAGATGGTTGTTGGTTCGCAGCACTCATTTGTGCTGCGTGCGTCGTGTAATCCATGGCGCTTATCTGCACCTGGTGTTGTTGTTGTTCTGGGGAGCCTTGCTCCCCGGGTTGTCGTATTTCGATATCCGGCGGTTTGTTTGGATCGAACCGAGGGTTGCCTCCCCCAGAGAACGACATTTTGTCGTTATGTTACTTGTGGTGGTGGGAGGGGTTTTCGTTCTTGCGTGCGTGGGATTCGCTGCAGTTGTGTGTTCTTTTTGCACGTGAGCCTGTGGTTCACGTGGTCTAGGCGAGTTGCTCGCCTAGCCCATGTGATCTCTAGTACATGGTGTGGCTGTCCGGGCGAGTTACTCGCCCAGAACTTTCCCACGCTCTTGGCTGTGGGCCATCGTCCCTCGGCTTTACTTCCTCCACCTCCGTTTTTGGGGGCGTAGTGATGCCGAGAGTTCCCTGTCTTCTTTGATAGGGAGTTTTTCTGGTCCCCTTACATTTTGTAAGGTGAGGTACTCGTCCAGGTGGACGAGGTCGTTGCAATTTCCTAGGGGTTCCCATGTGGTGTCCCCTAGTACCCATTTAACCTTAAACCAGAGTTCGTTGTGGACCCACACGTGGTTTAGGATTTCGTGAACTACTGCTTCGCGATCGGGGTCTTCCCCAAAGTCGTAGAATATGTTTACTTCCCTATTTGGGAAGATTTCCTGGTCATTCGGCTCGTGGGGTGCGAGCCGGGATACATGGAATCTTGGGTGGATTCTGCATTGTTCAAGTTGTGGTGGCAACTCGAGGACGTAGTTTGACGTTTCTGGAAATGTTTCCAGAATTTCATAAGGCCCTATGTATAAGGGCTTTAGTTTTCCTGCCCTGCCTTTGGGTAGGTTCAGCTTATCTGTGGATAAGTATGCGAGCTCGCCTTTTTTCAAAGGCGGGTCCGGGCATCTTTTCTTATTCGCCTGGATTGTTTGTGCAGTGCGATTATGTATTATCACGTCATGTGCTGCCATGAGGTTTTCCTTCGCTTTTTGAGCGAAGTCATTTACTCCCGGGTAGTCCGAGAGTGGTGCTGTTAGGCACATCTTTGGCATATGGCTGTAGATTAATTCAAATGGGGCAAATCCTGTCGATGTGTTCGAGCTCGCATTGATCGCGAATTCCGCCATCAACAGTTTCGCTGCCCAGTCACGTTGGTCTGGTCTAACCATTGCACGTAGTATTTGTACTACTTTTTGTATTATTCTTTCCGCTTGGCCGTCGCCTTGCAGGTGGAATGCAGTTGTGAATTTCAACTGTACACCGAGTATTCGGTGTAGTTCACGCCAGAATTTTGACGTGAATTTTGAGTCTCGATCTGATATGATCGAGTGTGGTAGACCATGGAGTCTTACAACTTCACGAAGAAATACAAATGCTAGTTCTAGTGTGTTCGTTGTTGTTTTTATTGGAATTAAGTGGACGTTAGACGTCAACCTACAGATGATTACCCAGAGGTAATCATATCCCAAGCTTGTTGGGAATGGACCTGTGAAGTCCATGGCTATTGATGACCATGGTGTCTCCGGGGTTGGGAGTGGGTGGAGCATTCCGGGATTTCTCCTGGTGCTTTTCTTTGTCGTTTGACAAGTTCCGCAAGACCTGCAGAACTTGTGTGTATCCTTTCTCATCAACTTCCACCAAAAGTGTCGACAGAGGGTTTCCACTGTT